CACCATGTCCGGCCTTACATTCTTATTAAGGACTCTCCTGGAACGTTGGAGGCGCTCAGGGCTCCGAGCATCCTGCTTGAGTCTCCATGGAGACGAAGCGTGTGTCTCCTGGCTGACTCCACAAGCCCCTGTGCCACGCTGAGCCCGGCCAAGCCGCAGCTGAGCCTGAGCACCTGGGTGTGTTCTGGGCCGAGGGGCAGGGTGTTGTGGGGGGACTCCTGACCCCTCGCCGGCTCTGCTCCTCACCCAGCCCCGATGTTCTGTTCCATCCGGGGGCGGCCAGGAGGCTGCCAGGAACAGCAGTGACAAATATCCATTTGTCACTGAGTGCTAGGAGCTCCCAGGCACTGTGCTAAGACCACATGTTAGCTCACAAAGCCACACCAGACCAGGGCCTTCACCATATCCTTTTTCTTTTTTTTTTTTTTTTAGATGAAGGAGTCTCGCTCTGTCGCCCAGGCTGGAGTGCAGTGGCTCGGTCTCGGCTCACTGCAACCTCCACCTCCCAGGTTCAAGCAATTCTCCTGTCTCAGTCTCCCGAGTAGCTGGGATTACAGGTGTGCACCACCATGCCCGGCTAATTTTCTATTTCTTTTTTTGAGACGGAGTTTTGCTCTTGTTGCCCGGGCTGGAGTGCAATGGTGCAATCTCGGCTCACCGCAACCCCTGCCCGCCAGGTTCAAGCAATTCCCTTGCCTCAGCCTCCCGAGTAGCTGGGATTACAGGTGTGCACCATCACGCCTAGCTAATTTTGTATTTTTTAGTAGAGACGGGGTTTCTCCACGTTGGTCAGGCTGATCTTGAACTACCGACCTCGGGTGATCCGCCTGCCTCGGCCTTTCACAGTGCTGGGATTACCAGTGTGAGCCACCACGCCCGGCTAATTTTGTATTTTGCCCAGGCTGGAGTGCAATGGTGCAATCTCTGCTCACCACAACCTTCGCCTCCCAGGTTCAAGCAATTCTCCTGCCTCAGCCTCCCGAGTAGCTGGGATTACAGGCGTGCGCCACCACGCCCGGCTAATTTTGTATTTTTAGTAGAGACGGGGTTTCACCATGTTCGAGAGGGGCCAGGCTTCTCCCCAACTCCTGACCGCAGGTGATCCTCCTGCCTCGGCCTCCCGAAGTGCTAGGATTACAGACGTGAGCCACCGTGCCCGGCCCCTGTCCCCTCTCTTTTGTCCTACTTGGCAAATAAGAAAACTGAGGCTCAGCTGCCTGCCGAGTGGGGAGATGGGATGGGACAGGGGGAGGTGTGTGTGCTCCTGAGTCTGGATGCCGGGTTCAAATCCCAGCTCTCCTACCGCGTGATCTCGCACCAGCCACTTAAGCTCTCTGGACCTCAGTTTCCCCTCCAAAGCGGGTGGAGGTTTCATACAAATGGCATCACACGCGGTGTGGTCTTCTGCGTCTGGCACCTCTCACCAAGCAGGATGTTCCCAAGGTGCCTCTCCACTAGGGCCTGGGTCAGAGCCCAATCGTTTTTCATGGCTGAGTCAGGTTCCACTGGCTGGCTGGACTGCAAAGTGTTCTTTAAAGCCGGGTTCGGTGGCTCATGCCTCTCATCCTAGCACTCTGAGAGGCGGAGGCGGGAGGATCACTTGAGCCCAGAAGTTTGGATCCAGCCTGGACAACATAGCAAGACCCCATCTGTACAAAAAAATTTAAAAATTAGCCAGGCATGGTGGTGTGCACATCTGTGGCTCGGGAGGCTGAGGTGGGAGGATCACTTTAGCCCAGGAGATCAAGGCTGCAGAGGGCTATGATCACACCACCGCACTCTAGCCTGGGTGACAGAGCCAGACCCTGTCCCAAAAATCTATATAAAAAATAAAGATTTAAAGTAGCCAGGCGTGGCAGCGGGTGCCTGTAATCTCAGCTACTCAGGAGGCTGAGGCATGAGAATTACTTGAATCCAGGAGACGGAGGTTGCAGTGAGCTGAGATTGCACCACTGAACTCCAGCCTGGGCAACAGAGCAAGAGCCTGTCTCAAAAATTAAATAAATAAATAAAAATTAAATTTTAGGCCGGGCACGTTGGTTTACACCTCTCACCCCAGCACTTTGAGAGGCTGAGGCAGGTGGATCACCTGAGGTCAGGAGTTTGAGACCAGCCTGACCAACCTGGTGAAAGCCCTTATCTATTAAAAATATAAAATTAGCTGGGTGTGGTGGCGGGCTCGTCATCCCAGCTACTCAGGAGGCAGGAGAATCGCTTGAACCCGGGAGGCAGAGGTTGCAGTGAGCCGAGTTCGTGCCACTGCACTCCAGCCTGGGTGAAAGAGTGAGACTCTGTCTCAAAAACAAACAAATAAATGCATACATAAATAAAATTTTACATTAGCTGGGTGTGGCGGAGTGTACCTGTAATCGCAGCTACTCAGGTGGCTGAGGCAGGAGGATCACTGGAACCTGATAGGGGGAGGCTGCAGTGAGCCAAGATCACACTGAACTTCAGCCTGGGGGATGGAGAGAGACTCCATCTAAAAAATATATATATATTAAAAAAAGAAAATTTGAAATGGATGTAACTCCATGGAAAGAGAAAGCGAAGCCAGGAGGTAATGGTGACTGAACGGTCTGCAATAAGGTGGATGCAGAAAGTGATGGGGAATTGAAGGAATGCATCAGCTGGGGACGGGCCATCCCAGGCAGAGGCCACAGCTGGTGCAAAGGCCCTGGGGCAGGGCCGCACCTGGCAAGTTGGAGGAACATCGAGGAGGCCTGTGTGGCTGCAGCAGAGTGAGGAGGGGGAGAGAGGAAGGAGGGGAGGGTCGGGAAGAGATGGAACAGGACACGCAGGGCCTTGTGGGCCTCAGGGAAAACTTGAGCTTTCATTTTGGGACATCTTTGGAAAGTTTTTTGTTTTTTTTTTTTTTGAGACAAGATTTTACTCTGTCGCCCAGACCAGAGGCAGTGGTGCAATCACGGCTCACTGCAGCCTCACTCTCCCCGGCCTCAAGTGACGCTCCCGCCTCCGCCTCTGAGTAGCTGGGACCAAAGGTGCACACCAACCATGCCTGGCTAATGTTTTTTATTTTTCGTAGCGATGGGGTCTCGCTGTGTTGCCCAGGCTGGTCTCCAGCTCCTGCGCTCAAATGGTCCTCCTGCCTCTGCTTCCCACAGTGCTGGGATTACAGTTGTGAACCACCGCGCCCAGCCCTTATGATCGTGATTATTAATATTTTGGTGAGTTTCATACATACAGGGTCACGGGCACTTTAGAGCTGGGAGATACTTTTAGTGTTTCTTCTACCCTGTTATTATCAGTGACAGCCAGCATTCCTTCCCGTTGATGACATTACTGATGAGTTACATACGTAAAGGGCCAAGGACGCTATGGGTAAACACCCTATAGAATTGGAAGACACTTTTAGTGTTCTCCTGTGCTGTCGTGATTAGTGGGAATCACGTTGATTCATCGTTATTAGTGTTATTATTATTTTAATTTGAGACGGAGTTTTGCTCTTGTCACCCAGGCTGGAGTGCAGGTGGCACGATCTCAGCTCACTGCCACCTCTGCCTCTTCGAGTTCAAGCGATTCTCCTGCCTCAGCCTCCCGAGTAGCTGAGATTACAGGTGCTCACCACCACGCCCGGCCAATTTTTGTGTTTTTAGTAGAGACGGGGTTTTGCCATGTTTGCCAGGCTGGTCTCGAACTCCTGACCTCAAGTGATCCGCCCGCCTTGGCCTCCCAAAGTGCTGGGATTACAGGCTTGAGCCACCACGCCCGGCTAATTTTTGTATTTTTAGTAGAGCGGGGTTTCGCGGTGTTGGCCAGGCTGGTCTCGAACTCCTGACCTCAAGTGATCTGCCCGCCTCTGCCTCCCAAAGTGCTGGGATTACAGGCTTGAGCCACCACGCCCGGCTAATTTTTGTATTTTTAGTAGAGAGGGGTTTCGCGGTGTTGGCCAGGATGGTCTCGAACTCCTGACTTTGTGAACCCACCCAAAGTGCTGGGATGACAGGCGTGAGCCACCGCACCCAGCCCTGTTATTAGTGTTATTAATACCATTGATGAATCACCTACTTAAAGGGTCGCTTTCTCTTTTTTTTTGAGACGGAGTTTCACTCTTGTTACCCAGGCTGGAGTGCAATGGCGCGATCTTGGCTCACTGCAACCTCCGCTTCCTGGGTTCAAGCAATTCTCCTGCCTCAACCTCCCGAGTAGCTGGGATTACAGGCACACGCCACCATGCCCAGCTAATTTTTTTTTTTTTTTTTTTTTTTTTTGTATTTTTAGTCGAGACAGGGTTTCACCGTTTTGACCAGGATGGTCTCGATCTCTTTTTTTTTTTTTTTGAGACGGAGTTTCGCTCGTGTTGCCCAGGCTGGAGTGCAATGGCGCGATCTCGGCTCACCGCAACCTCCGCCTCCTGGGTTCAGGCAATTCTCCTGCCTCAGCCTCCTGAGTAGCTGGGATTACAGGCACACGCCACCATGCCCAGCTAATTTTTTTTTAGTATTTTTAGTAGAGACGGGGTTTCACTATGTTGACCAGGACGGTCTCAATCTCTTGACCTCGTGATCCACCCGCCTCGGCCTCCCAAAGTGCTGGGATTACAGGCGTGAGCCACCGCGCCCGGCTGGTCTCGATCTCTTGACCTCGTGATCCTTCGTGATCCACCCGCCTCGACCTCCCAAAGTGCTCGGACGCTTTCTACGCGCAAGCACGCCCCCCGCCCCCCCATAGAACCCCCAGCGCCCTGTGACATTTTTCCTGCCGTCGCCCTTCACGGGAGCCGGCGAGTCCCCGCCCAGCGTGCCCGGGAAGCCGCCCAGGCCCGGCCCCGCCCGCCGCGCCGCCCTCGCGCACCCCTAGGCGGCGCCCGGGCCTGCCCGCCTCAGTTTCCCCGCGCGGCCCGTGGCGTGGGCGCGGGAGGGGGGGATGCGCGGAGGCGCCGGCTGCCCCGCGCGGCGCGGCCGCCAGGGGCCGCTGCGGAGCCGCCTTTGTGGTCCCGCCGCCGGGGCGGGCGCGGGCGGGAGGAGGGCGCGGGGGCCCGGGAGGGAGGCGGGAGGCGCGGCCGCCGCTCCAGCTGCGAGTCCGCCCGCCGCCCGCCGCCGGCTCGGTCCCGCGCCCGCCATGGCCCGCCTGACGGAGAGCGAGGCGCGCCGGCAGCAGCAGCAGCTCCTGCAGCCGCGGCCCTCGCCCGTGGGCGGCAGCGGCGGCCCCGAGCCCCCCGGGGGGCAGCCCGACGGCATGAAGGACCTGGACGCCATCAAACTCTTCGTGGGCCAGATCCCGCGGCACCTGGACGAGAAGGACCTCAAGCCGCTCTTCGAGCAGTTCGGCCGCATCTACGAGCTCACGGTGCTCAAAGACCCCTACACGGGGATGCACAAAGGTGGGCGCCCGGCCCCTCCCCTCCCCCTCCCCCGCCTCCCACCCCACCTTCCGGCGCCTTCCCCCCCATCCCCGTCCCCGTCCCCGTCCCCGTCCCCGTCCCTCCCCTGCTCACCTCCCTCCTCTGCCTGCCTCTGCCGGAGCCTCGGTTCCTACCCCTCCCTCCCACCCACCCCTCCTCCCCGCTCTGGGGGTGCAGCTGACAGATCCGAGCGGGCCCCCTCCCCTCCTCCGCCCCCTCTCCCTCCCTCCCCACCTTCCGGCATCTCCTCTCTCTCTCCCTCTCTCTCTCTCTCCCTCTCTCTCCTTTTCTCTTCTCTCCCATCTCCCTCGACCTCCCATCCTTCCCCCCACAGCACCCTCTCTCTCCCTCCCTCCTTCCCTCACCCTTCCATCCCCCCAGACCCCCACCCCTTCCTCCCTCCCTCACCCACTCTTTCCTGCCCGTTTGCCAGGGGAGCCTCGGGAACCCCGGCACCCCTCCCTGCCCACCCCCATCCCCCATTCATTCAGCCTCCCCAGGCCCCGTCGGGGAAGTTTGCACCTGCGGACTCCATTGCTTTGGTTATTTTCACAAAGCCAGGCCGGCGGGGCAGGTCCGGCCGCGGGGGACACCGATGCCCAGGACCCTAGGCTGATCGGTAACTACAAAGAAAGACGGATTGGGGGCGCCCGGCTTGGGGGGACGCGCCTGGCCTCGCCTGGGGTGGCGGAGAGGCTCCCCGTCTCTGCCGCCCACCCCCTGGCCCCACCACCTCGCGTGGATCAGCATTCTCTCCTCCATTTCTCTGCCCTCCCCCTCCCCCGCCTCCACCTTGGGCTCAAGTTGAAACTGGCCGAGCCTCTTAGCGATGTGTTGGGGTCTCAGGCCCAAGACAATGAGCTTGGACGTGTCCATCTGGGCTGAGCCCAAATCCTGGGGTGGACAGGGAGGAGGAGGGAGGCGTGGGCGGCCTCAGGCCTGTCTGCCTCCCTCCCGCGGATTCTCCCTCCCCTGGCATCGCGGATGGGGGTGTCCAGCGATTGTGTCCCCAGCCCCTGGTTCCCACCACGGGCCCAGCGTCCGAACTGGGGTGGCTTTGACAGCCTTCCCGTCAGGTGTTGGGGGCTGGGGGTGGGCGCTTCAGAGGCTTTGTCCTGGACACCCCCAGTCCCCCCCTCCCATCCTCCAGGAAGACCCTGAGAGGCCTTGGGGACTGACCGGGGCCCATGACCTATTTTAGACCCACTTTTCCCCCAGCGCTGCGTGCCCCGGTAAGCATGAATGCATGTTTATTGAATGAATGGATGAATAAATGGGTTAGTGAGTGAATGAATGAATGGATGATGGGTTCAAGAAGGCCCTAGGGAGGGTCTGGTGAGATGGAGCCCAGGCCTGTCACTCCAGCTAGACCCTCCAGCTGGTATCTTAAGGGAGAGGAAAGAAACCCCTCCCCATTCCCCATCTCTTTTCAAAACCAACCGTCACACACAAAAAAATTGGGCCTGAAAAATCTAACTCCTCCGTGTGGCCTAGGAGGGCAGAGGGGCTCCCTTGCGGCCCCCGGAACTCAATCTCTGGGGTCCAGAGGTGATAGTTGGGCTTTTCCCACACGCCCCCACCCCCTGGCATACCGGAAGCACCCATTTCTAGAAAGATTCCTGTGGCAGTGGGGGAGTCCACGTGGCCCTCCAAAAGGTTGCACTGAAAGGCCGCTGGTTGAGCTCTAGTTTGGAGAGACAGATGGGGGTGCAGGGATTGGAGATTCCCGGTGAATTCTTCATTTTTTTTTTCCTTCTTCTTCTTATTTTTAAATCTCTGGGAAATCTGGACGAGGGAGAGGTGAGGGGTGAGGGAGGGGCTGGCGCTGGGTTTTCGCCTGGTCCAGAGCCTCAGTTTCCCTGCTGTTGACAGCAGGGCCATAGCGCACGCCCAGTTATTTTTTTTACAGATTGGACAATGTTGAGGACCCTGGGATGCCTCGGGGGTATTTCCCATCTGCGGGCTTTCCTTGGAGGGTGAGAATTGAGAGGCCATGTCCATGATAGCCGGCGATCGCCCCCCGTGTTTTAGGGGTCTCGGGTCTGTCTGTGTGTGAGATACAGGGCAGTGAATCCCCGCCTGTGTGGGGCCTGGCTGGACTTCACCTGGGCTTTGTCCGTGGGTGCTTGGCACGAAGGGGTGAGGGGAAAGAAGGAGGTGGAGGTGTCTCCAGAATCAGCATCTCTGATCCAGGTTTGCGTTTGGGGCTCAGCTGTGTGACTCCTGGCTAGTGACTGCCCTCTCTGGGCCTTGGCCAAAGGGAGTTGGAATGGTGAGTGGGAAGTCAGGATTCTTGGGGCAAAGAGTGAGTTCAGACACCTGCCACCAACGATGACCTTATTAGGGCTTTGTTTCTGGGAACCCTGGTGTGGTAGAATGTGCCTCTTCCGAGAGGCAGGGCCGTGGGGGTGTGGACCCCAGGCCTGGAGAGAAATCCCTTTCCCAGGATGCTGGCACAGCCCGTGGGACTGGGCACAAGAAATCTGTAAGGAGTAGGCTGGGTGGGATGAGAACGCCCTGGAGGGGCACAGGCTCCTGGCACAAGCCGGGGGCATCAGCTGGCACCACCTCCAGCCCTTCCTTGGCCTCCACGAGGCGGGGCCTTGTTTGATGTCCTCATGGAAGGCATCACCGTGGAGGTGGGCTCTGGAGTGACAGCGCATTTCTGGGAAACTGAGGCCTGGAGAGACACATCTTGGGTCCCAGTCTGACCACAGCCAGGCCCCCATTTCCGCCCTGCCTTCCTCCCATGCCTATATCTGTGTGACGCAGGGGTGACAGGTTCCCCGAAGCCGAGAGTAAGGCCCCCAGAGATGGTGCTGGGGACGGAGGGGTCCGTGACACCTGACAGCCACAGCTCGCCTGCCTGAGGGCGGCGTGGGAGCAGCCGGATTCCTAGAGGCCGAGCTGAGACCCAGAGAAAGGCAGGAGGCCTTGTCCGGGCGTGGGGCAGGGGCAGGGGGACAGGGCGGTGTCCAGGTGGTCCTCCCAAAGAGGGCAGGCCTTGGGGCGCTGGGTTTGCTTTTCAGAGAGAGAGGTGAGGACACAGAGAAGGAGGGGGCTTCAGAGACATGGAGGACCACAGGGAGCCCACAAGCTGCTCCTGCCAGACCTCCTCATCCAGAGAGAAGGGACCACCCCCAGGAAGGACCCCTACCCCAGGCGGGGGGTCCGGCCAGGAACTGGAGGCTGGGATGGGGGCTCCCGCTGCCTCCCGTGCAGTTTCCTGCCCCAGGGACCCTCCCTCCAAGGGAGGCCACGCTGGAGCTTTGGCTGCCCCTGTCTCTGGATGGTGGCTGCCTGGGTGCCCACCCTGCCAGGGGAAGGTGCCCGCGGTGGTGCTGGTCTGCCGCTGCCACTGGGGCCCCCGTTTATGGTAATGGCATATGCATTTGCATGTTAATGACAATATTTGTCTTAAAGCGGAGGTTGCGCTGGGGGACGGTGTAGGTGGGGGGGCCCGGTGGGGGCCCGGGTGGGGGCCCGCCGTTTCCATGGGAGCACCAGCTGCCAGCTCGGCTGGGGCGGGGTGGGGGGAGGAGGAGGCTGTGGCAGGCTGAGCTCTGAGGCGTGAGATTCCGCGTGTGACGCACCAGCCCCAGGGAGAAGGCGGGCTGGGCGGCCTGGCGGGGGGACCGCGGGAGCAGTTGGCTCTCCTGGTGGTGGCGGGGACAGCAGTAGGGGGCCGGAGGCGGCCAGCAGGGTGGGCCGGTGTGTGCGCGCCTGGGAAGGACCCCTGCTGGGGTGGTGTGTGGCTTCAAACTGGGCACGCCCCTCTCTGTGCCTCATTTTCCCCTGCTGCCCATTTTCTTATTTATTTAACAGTCTTTCATGAGGCCCAGGAGCCTCACACCTGTGACTGTGACATCGTTTCTGCACCTCTCCCTCCACTGCTTCAGGCAGAGAACATTTATTGAACGCCTACTGTATTCCAGCATTCGTGCAGAGCTGGGCATTTGATGTGAACAGAATTCCTTACGGCATTCATGATGGAGTGGTCTACCTGTATGAGCAACATTTATTGAGCACTTGCTGTGTACTAGGTCCTGTTCTAGACCCTGGGCTACTGGATTGGGCAAAACAGATAAATCTGCCATCCCTACCCCCACCCAGGCCTCCCCTCCCACCCGATTCCCGCTGAGGACCTGCGCTTACAAGCCATGGAACTCAGGAATGTGATGGCGAAACGCACACCAGCAGTGACAACCCAGCAGAGGGCCCTGCCCCTGCCCCTGCAGGAGTGGAAACCAGGAGGGCTGCCTGGAGAAGGAGGCATTTAGTGTAGAAGAGTAGTTGAGAGCTTGGAGTTGAGATGAGTCTCGTTTCTCTGTATCTTGTGGCCTTGGGCAGGTGTATTCATCCCTCCAAACTGGAGCGGGTCTTCCTGTTTCAGAAGAAAGCAGGGAGGAGAAAGAAGCAGCAGCAGGGAGGCTCTCGGCATGGGGCCGGGCGCGGTATGTGCTCGGTCAGTGGGAGCGGGCTTGTTATGTGACTACGCTGAGCCCCGAAGTGAGAGGAGGGTGCATTGCTGGGGACAGGTGTTCCTGGCGATGTTTAGGGGCCCGCAGGAGCACTAACTCCAGCGAAGCCCAGCTGCAGGCAGGATGGAGTGTTTGCCCTCATAGGAACGAAGCAGAGGGTCTTGGAAGCCCCCGGGTCCCCGTCTTCTGTGGGGCTCACCTGATGGGGCTCTTCCGAGGGGTCCTAGCTTGGGGCTGGACCCAGGAGGTTCTCTCTGCAGTGGGCTTCTGTCTTTCTTTCACCCCTCAAATTGGCAAGTGAGGCCTTGGCCCTTGGAAACACCTGGTGGGACCACACTCATTCATTCATTCATTCACCCACACAACACTGCTCGAAAACCCTTTGGGGCCTCGCCTCGTGCTGAGCAAGAGAGGTCTGAGGCCAGAGACGGACATTGGCACCTATCGTCTGGGTTAGGTCAAAGGGAGGAAGGTTGACAACTGGATAATGAAGCAGGA